AATAAAGACCTCAGATTTTTCGGATAATTTTAGAAGTTGACACCAGATGTGGGACCAATTTTCTATTTAGCGTTCATCTGTAAACAAAAAAAAAACGTTTTGTAGAAAATTACAAAAATTTCAAAGAGAAGGGAAAAAATACACTTTGAAAGAATTTGTTTCAAAGAACAGATGAGAAGCAAGGTCACAAACTTGCTAAGCTAAGTTTTTTTTTTGCTGCATTTTTTTTTTTCGAAGTATTATTGAAATGTATTTGTTATAATAATGACTTTTTTAAAAGTTGTTTTTTCATAACCCTGTAAACTAATTACTCCAAGAAAAGAGCTCTTGTAAATCTTGAATGTGTAATACTGGTAATTTGTCTCTTCCAGTCTTGGTTGAAAGTGAAAACAAAATTTATTAGCTTCACCTTTTTGCATTGATCCTATTGTTATTGTGCGAGAAAAACAAAACAGTGTAAAAATTCAGGCCTGTGGAGAATGTGTCATACAGTTACAGTACTCTCTAAGAAGAAACAAAAATTTTCTAATGATGTAAACATGTGAGTCACCTGCTTTTTTCAGGTTTTTGTGTCAGAATTTTACAAAAAAAAATGATAAAAAAAATCATTTTTCATGAATAAAAAAAAACACCCACTAGAAAACTGACCAAACTGAGATTTTTATTTTTTTTTTTTTTTTTTTTACCCCTGGGTCTTATGAAACACCAACCAAAGTTCTGGTCATACTGAAAACCAATTACATTTGTAATTTCAGGATAGACCTAATGACCACTACCATCATGGAATCTTTTTTTTAATATGCTTTAATGCTTGGCGTTTTGATCAGTTTAAGAGCTTGTCAACAAAATCATGTACGTTGTTTGAATGCTTATTAAAATGGTTTGCAAATAGTAACATTCTGTGTGGCCGTCATTGTGTGAGAAGCTGATGAATTTGGCAAAAAATTAAAGTTATATAACTTAAAAAAGTAGTTTAGTGACAAACGCCCTGATATGTACCCACCCACCCCGTCTTACCTCTGGGTACTGTAAAATACTTTATTTTCACCAAAGGAATGATTCAGTGAAAATAAAATCCAGCAAATGTACCTTTTTTCCTATACCGGGTACTTTACATTCAACTTCAGTAAAAATAAATTCTATACAAAATACACAAATAGTCTTTTCAGCGAAAATTACTTCCAGCTAAAATAAAGTATTTTACAGTAGTCATCTTCATCTGATACAGAAACAATTTGGAACTGATTTCCGCTGCTGTATTTGTCCTTCACGGCAGTTATAGAGATTTAACCTTGAGGGCGCTCTGTTCCCCTAGAAATACGGTACTACCAGCAATTTATATATCAAAATTAAATATTTGATTCTTGGGTCGGAGTTTACTTGATTAAACTTGTGTGCGTTTTTTTATTTTTCATTTTGAACTATCTTGTTGATGCAATATTCCCCCTTACCTGGCACATGGTGAATGACATTTATTTTTTTGGCTAATTTCAGGTTCTCTACTAAGCAACCACCCTTGTAAAACTTGAGTTCTTCGGGTGCTAAGTCAAGTACAGTATCATTGATCAAGCAGCCTGTCAGCTGATATAGCTCTGCTTTGCACATTGTATTTAGACTAGCATTTAGAAATAGCATTTATTACCACAAATGACAAAAAAATCACTAAAATTAGAAAATTTAAGGTAACATCACAAAATGAACAAATCTGACTAAGGTTCATTTAAGATTCATATATAAATTATCGAAACAGTCAAACTTGCAGTTTTCAAGCGTTGGACAATCAGTAATATTGTTTGAGTTGAAAGCGGAGCTACGGTAAATACGATTTATTGTGAAGTCCAATTATAAGTTCCAGTTTTAGAATTCTTTAGTCTCCATGTGATTACAATTTTCTTCACTGTCCAACAGATAAAAAAAAGTGAACATAAGGTTTGCTGACTGCATTAAGATGTTAAACACTGCAGTTTATTTTCATACACATTTCATACAAACTTCCTGCGTGAAACTGTTTAAGACAGTTTGATTCTCATTCTCTTCTTAACAAACATTCTGATTGAACTAAATCTCATTACAACTTTCGATACAAAATATTGTATTTGCTCTACTAATAAATGCACTTACATAAATTACAGGGATTTTTCTATGGTAAAAATGAGTAATATTTTAATGATTTTACTATAATAGGGTGTGTCTACATCGCGCATTAAAATCTGCATATAACATTAGTGGGTAACAAAGTTGTGATGAAGAAAAGAGTGGTATAAACAAAGATCAGTGATTACTTGAAATCGATACCAGGAAGGGGGGGTAAAAGAAAAGATGTATAACATTTTATTATTTAATAATTTATTAAAGTCCATAAGTTTGTCCAACTCCCTGTGCTGTGGGTAAGAATTTGACATGGCTGAATAAATGTTGTTAAATTAACAATACGGTGGAAAATGCTATCGATATACTGCCCTCAGTGGCAAATGTGATATATTCATTTGTTTTAACTTGAAATGGAGAATCAAGTATAGTTTCTGGCTAACACAGAGGGCGCTTTGACTGAAACACAAGCAACACATTCTCTGTGTACAGAAATGTATATTATTTGAATAAAACCAATAATAAAAAAAGAAACATTATTGTAGTTATGCAGACATTATTTCAGGCATGTGATACACTTCAATTGTCAAAAATGTTTAAATGGAAAAAAAATGGCAGTGAACTGACAATGAAATTCAATACAAATAAATAAATAAAATTATTTTCATAAATATTATAGTGTCAATAAAATGAGAAGTGCTGAAAACAATTTTTTAAAAGGTTAAAAAATAAATAAAGTAAAGTAAGATATTGTACTCAATATATAACCTTTGCAAATAAATATGTACAAATATCTCTTTCTTCTACTGCACACTTTTCATTTGATCAAATCACTGCAGTCAGTGTATTTTACACTTTTATACATTATAGAACCATATCAAACACAATGCATCGTGATTTGGTTCTGTTTTTTGCTTTCAGAGTTTAAAGGGAGGTGGTCGTCGCACCATGTCCTGTTCGATATGGAACTCATAGCAGCATGCACGAAGCATGTGAAATACACTGATTACATGAAATTCAAAGACGTGCTGCTGACGACCACCGCCTTTTACCCAACACACACATTTACATCATCAAATCAAAATCTTGGTGAATTGTAGTACCAAGCATGATGCCATGGGTAAAGTAATTATCATTTCAATATCAATACAACTATATATACAGAAACAGATTCAAATTAATAAACCATGTCTTGAAAATTCTTTTTTTTCAGCCAGCTTAGTTTAAATGTTTTTATTATTTCTTAAATTGTGCATAATATAGAGGAGGTTCCTGCTATAGTCTTTGAAAAAAAAAACAATTTGGTAGATGATGAATTGACAGGAAGTAACTTCATGTACCATTTCAACTTCTTGTATTGTTATCACTTTCTTGTCAGCTCTCAGTACAACATTCTTCTGTCTGGGGCAGCTCTCATCATGGCAATTTCAGCATCGATCTCCGCAGTTACTGCTTTGATTTGTTGTATCATTGTGTGTGACAAGAATATTGCAAATAACTGAAATGAGACAAAATTCTCATGAATGAAAATCCACACCTCTTGTGGTTGTGAGTTATTTCAATTTATTATTACCGGTATATGATAATTACATGTGTATTAATTTTCAAAGCAAAAACCCGAATTCATCAGACCCTACCCATTTTTACACCATATATTCAGATGTAAGTAAATTGTATTGTAATAAAATATGTGTATTTTAATGAACATGTCTGTTTCTTCATTATAAACTTGTCTTGTTTCACTTTTATAAGCCCACTCCTTACTTTCCCCAATTTTACATGTTGAGGAAGTACGGTAAAATAAAACATGCTGTCGCAGCCACATCATCATTGGTCCAAAATTTAACAAACTGGTACTGTAAATGCATTAATTATTCACTGGGTTTTGATTTGGCTATTTTTCACCAATAAGTAAAATTTACTAAATGAAATGCACATGTAATATAACAATAGAACACACTGTTTCTATCAAATTTTTGAATTGCTCAAACATCAAAATAATTAAATTAAATGACAGTGAAAATAAATGTTTCTACAGTAGTTTTTGCCATTGAAAGTGATGTGATGAATAAATTTGCATAACTAATAAGGTAAACTGACAAGTGTGCCTAGGCATTGTTGTAGATGTCTCACTGACCTCAAATAAACCCATACAGAATGCCAGTGAACCAATAGTGCTCATGTGTTCTTCTATCCAATTAATTAATGAGTCTATACATCCACCAATATAAATAGTACTCAATAATTCAATATACTGAAATATAAGTACAGTGTCAAGTTTTGCAACTCGTGTTAAGGTTTCACTGTCATTATTTGTAAAAAGTGCGAGATTGGGAGAGAGAAACTGACACTTTCATGTACTTCAGTGAAACTTGTTATTTTTCACCTCTTCATTGGCGAGAATATGAATTACCATAATACCAATGAAGCAACAGAAATTTGTATTAATATTGTAATAATTCTTGCCGAAGAGCAAGAAAGTGTCAGTTTCTCGCTCTACTTTTTATTAATAGTGTGTATTATTAACATAATGATGACATACCAAATACAGGAATTAATTTTTGCTGAAAAGACTTTTTGGGTGTTTTGTATGGAATTTATTTTCACTGACTTTTGACGAGTTGAATGTAAAATATAAAAAAAAAAGGTAAAATCACTGGATTTTATTTTCACTGATTTTAATTATTCCTTCAGCGAAAATAGCAAAAATTAATTCAAAGCGAAAATAAAGTATTTTACAGTACTCAATTTATCTCAATCAAGACATTGGATTAAAACTAGGTCTCATATTAGTGACAAATATGATGCCGCCAATTTGTCATTTACCATTAAATATTGAAACTTATCAATAACTGAGAAAACACACTTACTGGTTTATTTTTGATATCGTATCCACACTGACTATTCATGTCAACAGATCTACAACAAGACCATGGTACCCCACAAGATGATGGACCTGGAGAGCTGCAGTTAAAATAGATATTGTGCTCCCAGTCAACGTAACTGATTCCACCACAGCACTTTAGCTGAAAAGTCAAAAAATAAATATGATGATTATGTAATACACACAGGTCAAACATAAATATATCTATTGAAGGCATATATAAATAATTGACACGTTCATCAAGAAACCAAAATTGGAAAATCAAAAAAAAAAACATTAAAGGGGGGTGGTCGCAGTGCTGCACATGTGCGACATGTGCGTTGATAAACATTGATTTTCCCACAATCCAGCTCTTCTAATGGAAATTACAAGTATGAGGTTTGACCTGGGCGCGACTTGCACTAATTATCGCCGGTGACTCCTTTGATACCTTCCAATCACGTAAAAATATACTTTAGCTTGGTAATTTTTCAGTTCGTACTCATTGATCTGCCAACTGTCAAAGTCGACATCTTTGTTTATGCGAGACCCATATATCTCGCGCATACATGACGCAACAACTACTACCCTTTAATCATCTCTATCGAATGTGTGCATATATATTAATTTGTCTGAAAAAAATTAAATACGTATACTTAAATATACATAAATGTATGTTTAAATCCAGCTTTGAGGTTTTTTGGTTTTTTTTCACTTAATAGATATAGGTTCAGTAAAGGACGGTGGTCATCACGGCACGTCCTGTTCGATATGGGACTCATAGCCTTGTACAAAACACATGTAAAATACATTATTTGTTTACATGAGACACGTGCTGCACACAACCACCGCGCTTTAACAATCCAGTATAAATAAATACTATTTTTGGTTTATGTGCACTTCTGATAGAGCAAATACAGTACATTCTATTCGCCATACCTCACAACATATCATATTTACTCTTAGAACCAACTGACAATTGCATTTCTTGTACTTGATCATTAAAATATGCGTTATTTTGATCACAAACACACCTCTATTATTAAAACAGGAGGGTTGTCATCTGCGCACACGTGGGAGTCCCAAGCGACGATAACAACACAAGCTCATGGGTAGACACTTGTTTGTAAACGATGACACGCTATGGCCATCTGACGCATGTGCAGGTGACGACTCCCCCGCTTTAACATAAGCACATGGCCTGCTAATATTGTATATTGGGTTAATTTAGTTTGTCATACCTTTGTCTGCACAAAATCAATAGCATTTTGTAAATCCAGATCATCTCTGTAGCTCACAATAGCATCATACACAAGTCCAACGACCTCGTTATGGACGTCGTCACGGAATACCAATGCCATAACACCAATTATGATTTGAAATAGAAAGATGAGAATCACTAAAAAGAGAAACTGAAAGAAAAAATGACATAAATTGTAAAACCTGGGCTAGACAGTCTCTGTAACGAACACGTGAAAACCTCTCTCGGCTCGAGAGTCTCTGTAACGAACACATGAAAACTGTTCCAGGCTAGATACATGTAGTTTCTGTAATGAACACATAAAAACCTCTCTAGGCTAGACAGCCTCTGTAATGGAAACATGACAACAATAAGACATTTTTCCACCACATACTTCTCCCTACATTAACCAAGCTAAAAGTGAAATATTTGGGTATTTTTCTCCTGTTGGTATCCTTTGGTCTCCAAACTATTGTAAATTCTAAACAATGCATATGCAGTCAGCACTTACCGTTGTCAGAAGGCAGCAATTTTCTCGAATAGCTCCGATAAAACCCAGAAATGCAATGACAAACATGCAGGAACCAGCAATAATTAACAACACAGCGGGATCTGTATGAATAGTGGATAAATCACCGAGTTGGTTTTTCTCAACTCTTGCCCACACTCCTACACTAATGAATATAATACTGATGATCTAAAATGAAAAGAAAAATATTATATTTAATATTTCTAATGAGGAATGAGATAGAAAAAAACGAGTAGCTGTTAATCTCGGAGATCGTACAATTGAATTGTGAGGCACGGTAAATAAATTTCTTATCACTTGCATCAATAAGTAGTACGTGTCAAAATGCTGGCTGAATTAATGAAAGATAAAAAAGATTTTTTATATTGGCGACATAAGATGAGCTTTGTTTGAATTAATCGCCAGTAAAAATCAGACAAACGATTCTTTCAAGGGAAACAACAAACATAAAAATACACTATACACATCTCAGACATTGTATTTAATTAAGATACTTGTACGAATGATTTCGTTTCTCATGAATCAGTTTCAATAATGAACTGTCCTTTAGTTCATGTGTTAGTTCTATCTCTGAAAAGCTAAAGGTATTTATGTTTTAAGATAGTTTTAATTGTTTATGTTTTTAAACTTGATGGCAACTGTCATAATTGAAAGAAGGACCTAAAGACTCATGCCTGGGTAATAGGCATTTTGACGAGTCAGACCAAACATAAATTTATCAGTATGAGTTTAGTGTCTCAATAATCCACCAAAACAGACAAATTTGGGCTTGTATGCACTTCTATTGGATATGCACTGCTAACAGATCAAATACAATAGCTCTAATTTGACTAGCTTGGAATTAATTTCCGCTTGGAATTCATTTCCGCTGTTTTTGTTGAAGGAATTCAGTGAAAGTAAAATCCAGCAAATATACCCTTTTTCTTATATTTTACATTCAAGTTGTAAAAATCTGTGAAAATAAATTTCATACAAGACACCCAAAATCAGCGAAAATTTATTCCAGCTAAAATAAAGTATTTTAGAGTAACCAAAATTCTCCCATGCTTAAACACCTCCTTGTTTTAAATGGCCTATTCCTAAGTGATTTTTGTTTTTCTAACCTTACATGGCCACCAGCAACATATTAATATTACAATATAAAAACTTACCCACACCAGTATATTTATCATAAAAAGGCAGTATTTGACCCAAAACTGGCATTGGCACCAGGTACCATCTAATATGTCAGTACCAGTTTGAGTATTATAATTAGTTCTTCTGTTCACCATCTTGTTTGTGTACTAAAAGGAAAACAGTAGTGTTATTCAGGTTATTGTCATGGTTACCTAAGCATCGAAGCAACACAGAATTCTGTGTCTTCACTAATGGGTAAGAGCCTGGAATCTAGCCATTCCAAGTACATCCAAGAATGGCCTGGTGAATCACTGTGTAACTACATAGTCAGCAGAGAATTCTGTGTTTTCATTGACTGGCAGCTTGATTAGATCGACCAGCCTGGAGCAGTGTTCCCATCAATGAAATGCATTTGTATTCAAGTATACCTGATTCATGTTTTTTGTCAAGGTAAAGGTATATCCTTCCTCAGTGGCAATTTTGAGAACACACACATTGAGTGACATCATGTGACATGTTTGTTTATGAATATTCATTACCAAACCACTTGATAACTTGATTTTTATATTACGTATCTATGACTATAGTATGTTAACATGGTAACACACATACTAACAATAGGTAAGGAACAAAGACAACACTTCAGATCAATTCATTAGCGTATTTTTGGTAGATTTTCAAAATCTCACTATCATTGATGGTATCTGTTGAATTTTTGATAGGAAGACAGCACATAGTAAAGCTGTTACAAATATGATTACTTGAGAATGTTCGATACAGTTTCACAAACCACTGAGAATTTTTCTGTTCGCTGATAGATTAGTCTTATCATAAGTTATTAGCAATAATTTGTATGGTCACCATGCCTATTTTTTTTAATTCTTCTGTTCATATCACACAGGCATTTTGTTACAAATACAAATAATGGGTAATATTCATGTTTTTAATGGTTTGAATACTCCAATAGATGTGAAATCATATGTCCTCAATATAATAAAAAGATAATTGTTTCACACAGACTATATGATGCTCCACTGACTCCCAAAGATTTTTTGTGATGTAACTATTAGTGTTAAAGTGGTGGTTGTCGCGCTGTGGATGTGCAACATTTGTGTTGATAAACATTGATTTTCCCACAATCCAATGTGCTCTTTTAACAGAAATCATAAGTATGAGATATGACCTGGGCGTGACTTACACTAATTAACTTCCAATCACCAAAAAAATATCTATATAAAGCTTGGTAACGTCTCAGTTTGTACACGTTTACTTGCGCAACAGTCAAAGTCGCCATCTTTGTTCATATGAGACCCATATATCTCGCGCATGCGTGGCGCGACGACTACCGCCCTTTAATTCACTAGTTCATCATGTATTTGGGGACAGCCGACAGAGGGCGCTCTTTTCGTAAGTCAAAATAAAAACGCCTTCAAAATGAAGGTATTTTTTTAAAAATGCATATTTACACCATACAGTGAATAAGACCAGTTGGATGAGGATACTGAATACAGCAAGTAAACTAAAGAGTACGATGACTCTACGTGTCTTGCTCAATGAATCCGTTCCGTTTTCAGCAAAGAACGGAAGACGAGGTCATTCAATGAATCAGTGACTGTTGCCTCTGGAGCAGTGACCATGACAAAAAATGCATTACCTTTCATTTACATTACCTTTTTTACACCAACGTAAGTAAAAAGTTTTTGCCTTTTACTTCGCCATGATATCTAAATAGCAGCATCACTCGGGAACGTTCTCATCGCCAGCGATGATCACTTTCTAACATCACCTTGTTTTTTCCGGAAGTTGAAATGCATTGTGGGGGTTGAGAACAGAACAGTTGCTGGTATATGGGTTTATATTTACATGTTTATCGGTAATATTTGCCACAGATGTGACATTGTTACGGTGAGGGAGATAAAATATCAATAATACCATTCAAATTATTTATATAATGCCATGTATTTTTGTTATGTATTACTCTGAACGAAATGGGTGCTTAAAATTCCGTGGCGGAGGCACCGTCACTTGTTACCGGTGACAAGTCTTTCATTAACAATCGGAGGTCCGTACCCCGAGGGTGACTCAATATTATAAACCTTACACCATGTGCGTTCTTGCTAACACTGCCAAACCATACCCCCGGACGCAATGTAAATTCAGTACCCCCTAAAGCAGACATATTGAAAAAAACACCCCCTATTTCAGACATATGTTGAGAACATCCTACCCTCTATTGCGAGGATTCTTCTTTTTGCACTCAATTGGAGTGTGATCAACTCAAACAAGTTACTATGTATGCAGCTCCTGTTGGTGTCATTTGTTGTTTGATGAAGAAAGATGAGAACTATTGACATATTGTGAATATGATCATTTATTTGATAGTTTAATACACAATGCCAATATTCTTATTCCATCAGATACCATTACGTGACGCAATTTTATGTTCAGCTCAGAGTGACTTTGGCATGAATACAGGGAAGAAAACCCAGCAAAAGGCAGCAGCTGAATGCGAATGAGGCCGAGGCAAGAAAGGAGTTTCGGAAGTGTGGATGACTCGGGGGGGGTGACTTTCTGTATGCGGTTTATTGTAATCGACGAAACGAAACGAAACGGGATAACACACATAATGAAAATTAAACTGGAATTAATGAAAATAGGTTTTATACTCACAATATATACACAATATTTGCTGAAAATAATAATATTCAATACACATATGGCTCGTTTCGCTAATTGCAGATAATCGAAACTGTCAGACGACACTTGACCAGTATATTTACCTAACTCGATTGGTTGCAGTCTGATAACCCAGACTCTTCACAAAAGACTCTGAGTCTGAACTTCGATATTGGTACAGCAGGATATTTCAGTAACGTTGACGTTGACAAACATCAAAACTTGTCGTTTACCATTAGCTAATTTCTTGTTATGTTGTTGCTCACAAATTTACGATAAAATAAATATGGTTTCCGAATTACTTTAAACACAACAAATGTGTCCTATGCGCCATTCACTATTATAGTTACAATTTCGTTTGATGGTTAGACATGGTGAAAAAGAATATGTTGTTATAAGATTTGTATTTATGATTGTCACAAATTATTAGAAAATCTGACGATGAATACTATTTATTTTTTTTAATTAAATAATGCGTTTACACGAATTTCAATGGATATATATATTTGCGGTTAAAAAATGTTTATGATTAAATCATCCGTCATGTAATAAACACTGTAAAGTGAACACTGGGCACTAACATGTAACTCGTCTAACCACAAAACTCCAATAAATAAACTAAGACCAGAACTACAAAATGCCAATATTAGTAGAATATTTTTTTAAAA